TTTTTTAAGACAGTGTCTTACTATGTAGTTCAGGCTGGGATTGAACTCACTAGCCCAGGCTGGACTCAAACTTGCAGGAATCCTGCTCCCTCAGCCTTCCGAGTGCTGGGATGTGCACCACCATGTCTGATAATCCTGGTGGCTTTGTCAGGAGGAAAGGGCAAGAGAGTGTTTATAATTGATTTAGGGGATTAATAATGTACACCGTGGAGAACAAGGAAAGGATCTACAGATTGGGCAAGGACATCTCACTCCCAAGAAGTCATGCAAGCTGCAAGAACAGGTGGAGCAAGGACCAGCACAGCTGGATGACATCATGCATTGAGAATGGAATGGACAGGGCCATGTGGCCACATCCTGCTGTCTAGGCACCAGGAGCACTGCATGAACGTGGGTGTATGTGTTAGGGGAGTGTCAAGTCATGGCACCTTGAATTTCTCTGGAGATACCCTCTTCCATTCTTAATACCCATGCTTTGCAGAGGTTGCTGCTTAGAGCCACTCAGCTGCATGCCAGGTAAGCCCGGTTGTCTCCAAGGGAAACTGGTCCCCAGGGACTGTGCTGAACTCTGGGGTGGCAAGAACACATTTCTGCTGGGGCTGCTAAACTGGGGCCTCCTCCATGACCCCCCACTACAGGGGGCAGGCAGCATATTGGGAAATAAAGCAAGACTGGGAAAATGGAGCCATAGGCTGGTGAGAACCCAGGTCCTTATGACATTATGGGGCTAGAACAATCTGTGGCCTTGGAGTCTGTTACAGAAACAATAAATCCCACTCCCTTTTTTTGTTGTTGGTTTTTTGAGACAAGGTCTCACTATGTAGTCCAGGCTGACCTTGAACTCACCATGTAGCCCGAACTGGCCTCAAACTTGTGATTCTCCTGCCTCAGCCTCCCGAGTTCTGGGATGACAGGTATGCACCACCATGCCTGACCATGGCCTCCATTTCTTATGTCCCTTTCCCTTTGGTTTCTGGCACTCGTCCCTCTGTTGAGAGCATTTGTACATAAATTTTGGGGAAAAATCATTTCATAATTAAAGTATGACTATAGCTGTCTAAGGCCTGATGTTGCCTTGCCAGAGTGTCACTATGGCTTCCAGAAACAGGACTCCATCTTGCCTCAGGTCACAACTGAGCCCTCAATGGTCTGTGAGGCTGTGATGGCTCAAGGGCAAGATAACATCAGCTGAACACATCCTGGTTCCTTGAGAAGCCAGTAGTAATACAGAAGAGAAAGGTTTCACCTGGGGAGGGACAAATTCCTCATCAGTTTAACTCAACCCACCTACTGAGGTGGGAATGCCCTACTTTCCACCCTAATCAGCATGGAAATAGGATCGCTGCCTGCCCCCCAAGTCACCCGATACTCCCTCCAATTACTGTGTACACGCTGTATATAGTGGCCAGCTCGGAGGAGTCCTTGTCCTTGAGGTACTTACTTCCTGGCCCCCTTATACTTTGAAATTACACAAGTCTCTATTGTCTTTTTTCTTTGGCTCTCGCCACCCCGCTTTCTAGACAATCAGAGGAAATCAGCCTCCAATAGACCTCAAGGTATGCTAAGTGCTCGGGCACAACCCCAGCTGGGCTGGGCCGGGCCAAGTGGAGGATGAAGCTGGCCAGTAGTTTTGTATGACCCTGGTGACCCCCAGTGCTGGCAGGGCCAGCACTGTCACTCTCTTGTACATCTCTAGTGTGCAGCACAGTGGGTGGCCCAACGCAGGCACTAGGGGATGCTCAGTGGCCACAGGGCCAGTGGAGGAAGGCTGGATACACGGGAGAATTGTCTGGGCTGCACTGCAGGACCTTCCAGTGCAGCTCAGTGAGGTCCAGTTTATTTGGCACCAAGCTGCCATCCCGTGTTCCGGTTTCTACTTGGATGTCCCCTAGCCTCCTGTGCTCACAGCGGGTCTTCAGAAGGTGATTGGGTCACAAGGCTCAGCGCTGACTCGCCTGTTAGGAGGCGGGGCATGGTCGGAAGAGGCGGGTCTGTGGGCGTTACCTGCAGGGCGCACCCCCTCTCTTTTCGCTGTTGGGTGCGTGGCATGGTCGGAAGAGGCGGGTCCGTGGGGTGGCCTGTAGGGTGCATCGCTCTCCCCGCTTCTCCCTTCTCAGGCTTCTTTCTGGCTCGGAGCACTGTGAAACCCTGCTTATCCAGCTTCTCACACCCAGGCTGCAACTCTGAAGCTCCCAGGGTCCTCGACCTCTTTTCTGTGCAACGGGACCAAGGGCCTGACAGCTGGGGTTGTGCAACTCATGTGTAACTTAAGTACTGATGGAGAACAAAGCCAATTCACTTCAACACGGGCAGGGGTGGTGGTGGTTTTCAGCTGAGACAACGCGGGCCGCACGTGGGCACTGTGAGCCAGGTGAAAGGTGCCAGGGGCTTGATTATGCTGTTCTCTCTGTTCTGGGGATAAAGGGACTCTGGCAGGAAGATTTAAGTGTGGACGCACTGGATACTCTGGTGGTGGAAGGGTGTCATTGCATAATTTGGTCAGAACTCAGAACCCACATGAAACTAGGAGCTCTGTCCTTGCTGTTTTGCTGTGACGTAAACTGGCTCTGAAAAGAGCAAGGCTCTGAAAGGAACCAGCTTGGTGCTGAGCCCTCCTCACTTCCTGGGCTTCATTTTATTTTCTTTGTTTTCTGGTGGTACTCGGTAAGGCAGAGCCTCACACATGCCAGGCCAGCACTTTCCATTGAGCTGCATCCCAGCCCTCTAGCCTGGTCTGGGCATCTGAGCCACTTCTTCCCTGGTGGGCTCTTAACTCAACATCTGCCTGCCCCTAGAATACTTTCACCTTTGCTATTTTTTTGGTACCAGGGCTCGAACTCAGGCCCTTGCACTTGCAAGGCAGGTGGCAGAACCACTGAGCTAAATCCTGTCCCTCACCTTTGCTTTTTGATGAGGCACTCAATTTTTTTAAATTAATTAATTAATTTATTTATTGGGTACCAGATATCGAACTCTGGTCCTTGCACTTGCGAGGCAGATGCTGGACTGAGCTAAATCCCCAGCCCACCTTTGCTTTTGAGACAGACTTTTGGTATGTAGTCCAGGCTGGCCGTGAGCTCATGGCAATCCTCCTGCCTCAGCCTCCTGAGTGCTGGGATGACAGGTGTGCGCCATGATATCAGCTTTACTTTCATTTCTTGAATTTTGGTTTCCCTGAGGCTAGCACTTCCTGCTGCTGCCACAGCAGAACTCCTAAGGCCATCAGCATGACATGGTCACCTCCAGGATGCTGGCAGTGTCCTGATAGCTCCCATCCAGAATACCAAACCACCTGCTCTTTTTCATCTGCACCCAGATACTTCTGCACTCTGTTTTGTTTATTTATTTATTTTTGGTCTTTTGAGACAGTGTCTCGCTAAGTAGTCCAGGCTGGCCTCAAACTCGCGGGGATCCTCCTGCCCCAGCCTCCTGAGCACTGGGATGACAGACAAGCACCACCACACCCGGCTGCACCACCAGTTTTACTTCCTATCCCAGTCTTCAGGCCCGCACATCCTAGTCCTGACTCGAGTGACACCAGCACTGGTCCCCGTCACTGTGGGGTGTGGCTACGGGGCTGGGGACACAGGCTGTCTGCTACGAGGCCACCTGGCGGGTGGCCCCCACACTCGCTGCTGCCACCTGCCACTCCAGAGACTGCTCCCAGACCGCTCCTGCTGCAGGGCAGGGACACAGCCCTGGATGGCACTGTCCCACAAGAGGCCTCCACCTACCAGGTGGCTGCCCTGGTGACAGGGTTGGGCACCCAGGGCCCTGGTAGCTGGGCCCTCAGGTTGGAGGGGAAAGGCTGGGAGGGGCAGGCCTTAATGCCAGCTTGCAGGAGGACAGAGGTACCTGGGCTCCTGTGCCAAGTGCACCTGGAGGCCATGTGGTCACGCCAGAGCCCCGGCTGGGCCAGGCCGGGCCCCAAGCTAGCTGGCTACACTCCGCCGCGGGATGCAGCCCTCCATCTCCAGCGCCTCGGGCCAGCCCTCGTACTTGTTGGTGTGCTTGCTGTTCTTCACGTGCTGCAGGGGTGGGACGGGACAGGGACAGGGAGAGTCTGTGTGTGGGCTCTTAGGCTGCCACTGCCAGGGAGAGGGAACAGTGCAGAGGGGAGGGAGGATGCATCCCTGCTAAAGGGAGCCCAGCACCTGCAGCCACAGCAAGGCCCCAGGGCAGGCAGCTTGAGCCCACCCCCTTTCTTTTTGGCTTTTTGAGCCAGGTCTCACTCTGTAGCCCAGGCTGGCCTCAAACTCACAACAACCCTCCTGCCTCAGCCTCCTGCGTGCCTGGATTACAGGTGTACACCATCTTGCCCAACTCCTCAAGCTGCTCCTTTATCAGCCAGAGCCTTCTAGAAATGTGTTCATGTGTCGTGGAGAAGAAAGTTTGGGGTGCTGCGGCCTGGGCTGGGCCAGGAGCCGCCCCAACTTGATGCTGGTACCTGGGGCTCTCTTGTGGCCCAGCCTAAGCACAGGGCCTGACATGAGCGAGCCTGGAGGGCAGAGTGTGCAGCATGGTGCAGACCAGGGACCCAAGGCTTCTGAGGCCTTGGGTGGGCTTGCACACCTGAGATGTTGAGAAGGACGCTTTCTTAGTTGGGACTTTGCCACTGTGCAAACTTTGTCACTTCAAGACCCTTTAAAAGCTAGGTATGGTGGCACATGCCTATCATCCCAGCCTTTGGGAGGCTGAGGCAGGAAGATCACCATGAGTTTGAGGCCAGCCTGGGCTACATAGTGAGTTCAAGGCCAGCCTGAATTACACAGCAAGATTCTGTCTCAAACAAACAAAAAACAAAAGACCCTTTAGGGTCAAACACTTTTGAGAAGCTAAATGTTGCTATGGATGGAAGGGGTGTCTGGGAGGCAAAGGTAGGGGTGCTGTACCTGCTCAAAGGGGCTCTTGTTCTGTACACCCTTGGCCCCCACGAACACCCAGCTGTCACGGAAGGCCAGCTCCTTGGCGTTCCTGCTGCCTAGCTCGCTGAAGAGCTTCCTGGTCTCCTCATTCATCCTGCCACACAGCCGGGAGACAGGTGAGTCTGGGCTGTCATTGTGAGGCCAGGCTCAGGCTCCCCCGGGCAGTCACTTACTTGGTGGCTGGGTCATCATAGGAGGCCACAAACACCAGGGTGCCTTCGTGCAGGGGCCGGATGAACTTCAGCAGGTCGTTGACATCTGGGATGTGCGTGGCCCACAAAACACGGGGCTTTAGGCCCAGCAGCCCAGCCCTTCCCCAAAGCCCTCACTCCCACTGAGGAAAGCAAGATGGGACTGGGCAGGGAAAGGGCCCATCAAGGGACAAACTGGCCAGAAGCACACAGCCTGTAGCCCTGGCTGGTGTCACCTCCCCCATCCTGAGCCCAGGGCCACAGAGGGTGGAAGGTGCCGGCCACACTCACCTCCAGCCCACATGTCAAAGGCCCGGGCCTCAATGAGCTCGCCACTCACCCCTGCGTCGGAGGAAGACAGGGACCTTCTGAGTGAGCCATGTGCCATTTACACCACCCACTCGGGCACCATGGGTGGCAACTGGCTGCAATTCTTCCAAAAACTTTTTTTTCTCTTTTTTCTTTGTTTTTGCTTTTTTGAGACTGGGTCTTGCTGTGCAGTCCATGATGGCCTTGAACTCACTATGTTGCCCAGGCTGGCATCAAATTCATGGTGATCCTCCTGCCTCAGCCTCCGAGTGCTAGGGTACCAGGTATGCGCCAATGTGCCTGGCTTCCAGAGCTTTGCAAACACTCCCCTCCCTGTCGCTTTGTTCAGATAGGCACAGCTCACCCAAAGCCACAGAGCTGGTATGCATTTGGGACCTGCATGTGGCTGCCTGCTTTGTCCATGGGTCACTTCCGCTGGGACCCTTCCTATAGCTCTGGGAGCTCCTGGAGAGGCAACCAGCAAACATGGCAGCTGCTTGGGGGTGAGGAAGGGAGGGGTGGCATCGTGCAGGGACTCACCATTCACCAGCGCAATGTTCAGCCCACGGCCCACATTGTCCTTCACACTGCTCATGAGCCTGACAGGGGACGGAGTCACCATGGTCACACAGGCTCTCTCCTCATCAGGAGTCCCGCCCCACCTCTCACCCGTGTGGGCCCTGAGCTCACATCTTGTCCTCCAGGCAGATCTTGGGCCCAATGACATTGGCAGCGCCGCTGACCATGCGGAAGGCGAGGTGCTCCTCGGGACACGGCTGGGGAAGGCCGCACTTGTACTTCCTGGCCCGTGGTTCTGACCAAGGACAGAGGTATGACCCAAGGACCTGGCCCCAGAGTCACTTTAGATCCACGGGGCGGGGTATGGGGGGACGGTGCGGACAGGAGCTTGCAGGGCAGGGAACCAGCGCAGTGGGGGTGTGGCTCTGGCCAAGGCAAGGGAAACTTGGACACTGTCCTGGGGTGAGGTGACAGCAACCTAGGAGGCAAAGGCTGGCTGTGGCCCATGCACAGGAACAGAGGAAACCGGGCTTGGAGCCCAAATACAGAGGTCCCCAGGTCCCCAAGTCCCCACAGTGATGGGGACAGGAGCGAGAGGACCTCTGCTGTGCTTCGAACTGTGTCTCCACCAAAGATACGAGGGAAGCCCGGGCGTGATGGCACACACCTCTGATCCCAGCACTCAAGAGGCTGAGGCAGGAAGATGGCTGTGAGTTTGAGGCCAGCCTGAACTACAAAGTCAGGCTCTGTCTCAAAAAAACAACAAAAAAGATACCCTGGAATCCCAACTCCCAGCACCTCAGAACGTGGCCTTGTTTGGAAACAGGGTCTCTGCAGATGGATTAGTAAGGGTAAGATCATACTGTAGCAGGCTGAGCCCTTATAAAGGACAGGCGTGAGAAAGGAGGTGGCCATGTGACAAGGAGGTAGAGATCAGCATGGTGCAGTCACCAGCCTCAGTGCAAGAGCCAGGACCAGGCCTGAAGCCCCTTCCCCTGGAGCTTCAGACAGAGCTCCACCTGGCGACACCTCCACTTCACACTGCTGCCCCACAGAACTGGGCAGAGGCAAACCACTGGGGTCTGGGACACTGAAATCCATTTTGGTGTCAGGGGAAGTAGGATCCTTCTGTGTGGCTGTGGCTTTGGGGCTGGGAACGAATGGGTAGAGGCTGTGGAATCTTCAGCTGCATGGCAGAAAAGGCCTACATTGCCTTTAAGAGACGGTTGGTAGAAATACACACATTGTAGCCACACACTGAATGAAGCCAGCACTCAGAAGGCTGAGTCGGGAAGATCCTGAGGTCAAGGCCAACCTGGGCTACAATAGGGAATCCCAAGCAAGCTTGGACTACAGAACAAGACCCTGTCTGGAAAAAAAAGAAAACAAAACAGCTGGGTGCAGGAATTTGGGACCTGAGGCTGGAGGATTACAAATTTGAGCCCAGTCTGGGCAGCTTAGCAGGACCCTGTTTCAAAAAATAAACCTAGATTGGTGGTGAATGCCCCTAATCCTAGCGCTCAGGAGACTGAGGCAGGAGGATTGCTGTGAGTTTGAGGCCAGCCCGGGCCACATAGAAAAAAACCCCAAATAAATAAACAAATGAATACATAAAATTTTTTAAAAGGGCTGGGGGGTGTATTTCAGGGCCAAGGCCCTGGATTCCATTCCCAGACCCCCAGTACCTGAGAGAGACACAGAGAATATCCTCTAGCAAGGAGGCAAGCAAGGGTGTGACTGGGCAAGCATTTGCTAAAGAGGGCTGGGCTGGTTCGGGGGACAGGCCCAGCATCCTTCCCTTCTAACTCTTCCCTTCTGCAATGGCGCTGTCCATCCACCTGGCCCTGGGCATTGTGTGGTGCAGGCAGAGCTGGCTACCGGGTCCACAGCTCAGTGGGCAGCGCTAGCTGTGTTTGGGGGAGATGGGGAGAAACCACAACCCTGAGGGCCACATAGGGAGGAGTGGGGTAGGACAGAGCCTTACCTGCAGTCACAGAGCTCTCGGGGCCTGTGGAGACAAGAGTGTTTCTGTTAGCGTGGCAGCCTCAGGGCCAGGCCTTGCCACTCAAGGCTAAGTGATACTCAGCAGCAAAACTGAACACCCCCTTTTTGCTCCTGGAAAGGGGGAAATTCCAGCCACAGAGTACTGCAGGGATGTGGCCCGATCACAGGGTGAAGAGGCACCTCCCTATATGAGGGTCCTACGGAGAGCCTGCGGAGTGCCTCCTGGTACTCCTACTGACTTCCCCTGGGCTTGGGACTGGAACTCGAGGTGTTGCTTGTTGAGCTGTAGCACCTGCTTGGCAGGGGTAAGGTGGCACTCAGTGCTAGGAGATAGGTGGAGGGTAGCTGGGGGGTGGCCTGCCAAGGAAGGGACCCCCACTGACTCCACACTCACTGGTGAAGAGGTGCTGGATGCGAGGAAAGCCATCACCAGGCCCACCCAGGAGTATGCTGACGACGATCCAGGTGAGACCCACGGCGACGACTATGACCACGATGCGGAGGGGGCCTGGGGTGGGATAGACAGGCGGGCCTGCCTCAGGCACCAGAGAATCCTAGGGTGACCCCTGGCCTCTTGAACCAGCTCTCCCTTCCTCTTGGGAAGCAGGGCCAGAGGACCAGTTTGTGGGGACCTCCTGTCATCCACCAGGCTCCAGGGGGGAGCCTCCATCTGCCCAGCAGGCAGGAGGGGGAAGTGGAGTCCAAGCCCCGTGGCTGCCCATGTGGGTTCTTGCTGGTCGGCTGGGAGGGCCCTCAGGACCCTGCTGCCCCCGGAAGGGAGCTGTGTCCTTCCCCAGGAAACCTCCACCTCCTGCCTCTGGCATTGCCACCACCACCGGCCCCCCTTCTTTCTGGTCCTGACGGGAAGCCGTCTTTCACCTGCTGCAAGCTGGGGCCTGTGCTCCCCTACTTTCCCTGATTTCTGGCAGTGGAAACCTGGCCCTCCGTCATACTCTGTCTCCTGGGTTCTCAACATCTCCGTCTCTCCCCTTCAACTTCTTCACTCAAACTTTTCCAAAGTCTTCTACACTTACACTTGCCCTTCCTCCCACCTCACCTCCCACCCTCTCCCCAATCTGCTCCACTCTGGCTTTGCGCGATCATCCCAAAGAAACAAAAGAAACAGCCTGGGGAGATCTTCACGATCACCTGGGGGCTATCGTCCTCCTTGACCTCTCAGTGGGCTGCCTGTGTCCTCCTCCTAATAGAAATCTGTCACCACTGGCTTCCAAGACAGCACGCTATCCCCACCCAATGCCTCTGGACACTGTGTGGCTTGATGATCTTCCTCTAATCCCCGCCTAAAAGCTGGATGGGAGCAGGCTCGGTAAGGCACTGCTCCTAGTCTCTACCTGTGCCCTTTTCCGGTGATTTCATCCACCTAGGCGGGCACTCAGTGCCATGGAGCAATGACTCATTGTTTTCTTTTTAGCTCCGGGCCTGGCCTCTACAGCACCCACACCGGCAGCGAGTCTCACCTCCCAGCTCCACTGGATGTGGAGCAGGTCTGCACTCCAAGTCTGGGCCTTACGTTCCACCTCCCCGCAGCCCAACCTTCCACAAGGCGGCAGAGACACCAGAGCTGCCTTCAGCTGGCATCCGGCCCCCGAAGGGGCCCTGCCTCTCCTCCACCTGTCCCTAGCTGCCAGGCCTCCCGGGGCCTCTGTCGCACCTCATTCGCCAAGCGGCAGGCAGCCCCCCGCTCTGAGCTGGGTGGGCTTGGCCACTCTCATCTTCATCTCCCGGTCTGGAAAGCTAAACGGGTCGGGGCTGAAAGGATTTGCTCAAGGTCAGGAAGCGAGTGAGCGCGCAAACCCAGCATCTCTCCCGGGCCCCTCCGGCCACAAAGTCGGACACCTGGGCCTCCTTCCCGTGCTATGAGAGCCACCCACCTGCCAACCTCATGTCCACGTCTCCCGCTGGGCTGGGACCGCCGGTGGGTGCACTGATTGGGGACAGTGCGCTCCGGGGAGGACGGGGCAGAAGAGCAGGTTTGGGTGGAGTCAGGGGGAAGCGGGCCGGGCAGGATCAATGCTACAACTTGTTTCTCCAAGCACTCGGGAAGCCGGCGGCTGTCAATCGGA